TTCCTGGCTCTAAAATAAAATTTTCTTTGTTCATCAGTCATGTCTCCAGGCCCCTCTGATATTACTCTTGCTTTCTATTTTGAATTTTTATTCAATCAAAAAATGGAAGATTTACTGTTATGCAGACTACTGCAATATTGTAATAATTGTATAAATAATGTCAACCCATTCATGACTGCATATTAGAATGGCTACTTGGACATTTATTGGAAAATGACATCATTTATTTACTTTTGAACATCGGCAAAAATCAAACATTTTCCCTAATTTGAGCTCCATTTCAAGGTTCTTTTCATAGTAAAACCAATCAAAATCACCTCTGTTTCTATAATATGTTTTCCATTCTATCAAATGAGACCAAGAAAACGAGAATGCAACCATAAATACTATACAAAAATAGACCACAGTTGGCATTTTAATTAAAAAAAAAACAGTCAGAGATTTTTTTTCTCATTATGCACTGCGTGCTGCAGGATTTTTATATGGTTCACAATGACCACACAGACCCATTCTCTCACATGTGAGCCTACCAGCTTTCTCCTGCTTGATTTGAAGCCGCTAGAATTTATGAATATACATGTACATATATACATGAAACACGGTGGCTCGTAAATGTATATATAGGACCGAAACAGTCAAAGGGTTAAATATGCAAGCAAACATGTGGGATGTGATTAGTGAACTGAGATGTTGTTTTAGTGTCAGGAATGTTTACATTGCATATTTTGCACTATTTTTAAATTGGTGTTGGTTAATTTTGTGTAAAACAGGCCAAATTACCAGCTTCTGTGCACTTTACAGGATAGTTGTAATAGTTGAATGGGTGGTTTCTTGTGTTCAGTTGATAGAATGGAAGACATACTAGTGAAATAGCTAAGAATTTGCTCAAATGGAACAGTGGAATTAACTTAAAATAGGACTTGAAGTTGGCAAAATAGCTGTGTAAATTGCACCCAGACCTCGGGAGGCCTGGTCATGGACCGGGCCGCGGGGGCGTTGATCCCCGGAATAACCTCCAGGTAACCAGGTAACCTCTAAATTTGTGTCTGCGTAATTCCATAAGGTTTACATCAAATTTCATACTTTTGGTGCCATGACCTTCAGAAAAATATAATCTACCATATCAGAAAGCTTTTTTTTTTTTTTTTTTTTTTTTTAAGTTAACACTGGAAGCAATATTAAGTTTGCGGGTTTGGACAATGAAAGGGTTAAAGCAAAGGCAATGTACTTACCACAACCTAAACTCTTAAGTCCATCTTTCCTGAACCCTTTCATAGATATTACCGTTCACTCAGACAGAATATTAAATGCTTAAAATGCCTTGTCCTCTATCACTCCACTCTAATTGCATTATACATGCCTCCTCATATTTCAAAACAACTTTCAAACCCTCATTCCTTCTTCTACTGCACCTTCCCTCCTCTCTTGACTTATATGCCCTCTTAGTGTATCAGTCTTGCTTGACCTACCCCCCTTACCCCCCACCCTTCACTGTTGGAAGCCCTGAAATTAAAAGGATTCATGGTGTTGAGATTTTTTTCAAAAGAAAAAAAATATTTTTATCTTGAAATTGTAGAGAATCTTTTTCTGAAGGTAATGACACAAAAAAAAAATACAAAATTTGGTAGAAAATTTATAGAATTTTACCAGCACAAATTTAGTGGTCTGGGAGCAGTTTACACATCTACGATTTTGCCCACTTTGAGTCCTATTTTAAGTTAATTTCTTTGCTTAATCGACCAAATTCTTTGCTATTTCACTACTGTGCCTTCTGTTCTATCAATTGAACACAAGAAAGCACCCATTCAACTATCAAAACTACCCTATAAAGTGTGCTGAAGTTGGTAATTTGGCCAATTTTACACTAAATTAAAAATTCTAATTTAACCCTTTCAGGGTCCAGAGACCAAATTTCAAAGTGTGCACCAGGGTCCAAGAATTTTCTAAAACAAAAATTTTGTTATTTTTTCTTATGAAATGGTAGAGAATCTTTTTCTGAAGGTAATAAAACAAAAAGTACGAAATTTGATGGAAAATTGACGAAATTATGCTCTCGCAAATTTTGATGTGTCAGCGACATTTACGAATCGGTGATTTTGCCGACTGTGACTCCCATTTTAGACCAATTACATTATTCCAGTCAACCAAATTCTTAGCTATTTCACTAGTATTACTTCTATTCTATCGATTGAGCACAAGAAATCGCGAAGTCAACTGTTTCAACTACAAAATAAAGTGATCAGAAATTGGTAATTTGGCCAATTTAACACAAAGTTTGAAATATTCCAATTTCAAAATAGGGTCCAGAATAAACAATGTAGGTATTTCTGGCACTAAACTAACATTTCCTCTGTTCATCAGTTACGTTTTGAGGCTTTACAAACGAATTTCATTTTGATTTTTTATTCACATAATGAATTTTTATTCAAACCAAAAAATAGAAGATTTACTGTTATGCAATATTGTAATAATTGTATAAATATCACCACATTTGTGAATGTATATTAGACCCACCAGCTGGCATGTATTAGATGTGTGAGGTCATTTATTTACTCTTGAACATCAGCAAAAATTTAACATTTCCGCTACTTTGAACTCAGTTTCAAGCCATTTCCATTGCTAAAACCAATCAAAATCATCCCTATTTCTGTAATATGTCTTCCATTCTGTGAAATGAGACCAAGAAATCGCAAATACAACTATAAAAAACACTGCAAAGTCGCTGTTTTAATCGAAAATCACGGTCTCTGTTTTTTTTCTCTCATTATACACTGTGTGCTGCAGGATTTGTTTTATGTGGTACACACATACCACATAGATGTATTCTCTCATATCTAGGCCCAAATTTACCACTCACAGCTTATCAGAGTGAGCTGAGCTCATGGCGTAGATCTACGGTTTGGACCCTGAACGTAAAGCCGTAGATCTACGGCACGGACCCTGAAAGGGTTAAAAATCTAAAATATGCAATGTAGACATTCCAGGCAGTAAAACAATAATTACTCTGTTCATTAATCATGTCCTCAGGTTTCTCCTATACATTACACTTGTCCTCCATTTTCAATTCATCATCATCACAAAAAAACTGAAGAGCTGCCTTATTTCTTAGATAATAAAATATAACCAGGGATGATTGATCATGATTTTCGGCATCCCAGTAACTGAATCAGACCTAGAAAAAGAAATTAAAACAGACCAAGGATTGTAAGGGAGATTTACTCATCCTCGGGAAAATTCTTAAAAATCTAATATTTCTGCTAAGTTGAGACTTATTTCAACCTACAATCTGGTCCTGAAGCCAATCAAAACCATCTCTATTTCAGTAGTATATTTTCCAGTCTGTCAAATATTACCAAGAAACAATAAAACCATTAAAATCATCTTGGAAATTCGCTGTTTTAAACCAGACACAAGGTCGGGGGTTTTCCTCTTCACATTATGCACTACATGGGGCAGGTTTTTTTTTTTTATATATATACTGTGCACACTCGCCACACAGACCCAGTCTCATGTCTAGATCAAAATTTACTGCTCACAGCTTATCTGAGGGAGCTAAGGTCAAAACATACCCTGGTTAATCCTTTCCGAAAGCCTAAGCCCTCTCAACAACCTTTTCTGCTTATATAGTTATATCTTCACACCATCTCAGTATAATTTTTTTTTTTTTACACAGCCATCTCTCACCAAGGTTGGGTGACCCAAAAAAGAAGCACTTTCATTATTCACTCTACCACTGTCTTGCCAGAGACACATTGATACTACAATTCATGTGCCCCTACAAATTGCAAATATCCCCACCTTTCCTTCAGAGTGCATGCATTGTACATCCCACCTCCAGGACTCAAGTCTGTCTAACCAATTTCCTTAAATCCCTTCTCAAATGTTACCTTGCTCACACTAACAACTCATCAAGTTTCAAAAACCATTTGCCTCCACTTGTATTTAACATGCTCACATACATACACACACACACACACCTGCTGGATGTCCAAGACCCTAATATTCTCTGAATTACCTTAACTTTCACTGAATCCTCTGTTAATGTATCCATTTCCAGATATCTAAAGTCACCCTAAATTTTGTTACTAGAATTTAACATCAGTGAAATGTAATAATTTTATTAAGGTCATACTGATTGTCACAGAATTATAAATAGAATTAATATGTATCCTATTGTTGTTGGGTGGCTAGTGTTATAGCATTGTTGTGAAATACCCTAACAGAAGTTAGGGTATTTCACAACAATGTGAAAGTTATACTGATGCTGGATCTATCCTGATGCAGACGTATATAAAAGTAACTTGGGTCCTTTCAAATCAAACACAAGTATAAGCACTTCAGTATTGCTGTAGCATGACATTCAACGAAAATATTTGTTTAGAATCTATACCCAAGTGCATACTGTTGTGGTGAAGTGGTTAGTGTTACTGCTTGTTTCAAGGCATCTTGCCAAGAGCTTGGATGTATATATGAACTCATGACTGGTGTTTTTACTACACACTACTCTGCAAAATTAATGCACTGTCCTTAGCTTAGTAGTATTAATTGTTGTTCAGTTTTAGAACAGTCATTAAATTAAAAACTTTTGGTTCAATTTTAATTTTTGTCATTTATGATTTTTTTTTTAATAATTTACTGTTTAAAAATTTTCTTGGAATGGTAGCTTGATTATTATAATATAAAACAATTTAATTTTTATTTGTTCTTGAACATCATTATATTTTAAATTTTATTTGCTTTTTATTCCTCTTCTACCACTGTTCTTCATTTTTAATATCATTTTTTGCTATACATTAGTTGACAGTTTCCTTCACTGGACATCAGTATAAGTCTTTTTCTCTTAATTTTCATCTTTCATACATTAACCTTTTCTTCCTGTCCATCTTTCTTTACACTTTTTTGTTCCTGTCATATCCTTTTTCACTTCTGACTTTATCCTTTATCACAACCTACATCCATGCCCAACCTGACTACCCTGCCTCTTTGCTCTGCCTGCATAGAACCCAGGGAAAGCTCTCAATAGTTTTGGAGCTATCCTTCAAAACACACCCAAATCAGCAAGGGCCATATATGGCCGTGCCAGGTCTTTGGACCGGTTAGCAGAAATGGAACGATCGAATTCGAGGCTGGAGCAAGCCATTGTAACGTACCGAGGAGTGCTTGATCTTGCTGATGAAGACCCCACCTTGGTGCCTCTTCCCCTTTTGCGTATGGCTGCTGAAACCTGCGTTGATCGCTTGATATTCAGAGGTTTGTCTTGACTAAGAAGAGTATTATAGATAAACTTATGCTTAAATTAAAATTTTGTCAGCTTTTAAATGTTTTTATTCCATAATAAAAAGTTTAGTTAGATTTCCGTGATATTCATTTGTGTACTAACAGGCATTTAAATATTTAAGTAGAAATAAAGCTTATTACAAGAAATGTAAAGGAACATGATATGCACTATTTAAATTAATGATATTCTCACTGAATTCCTTTATCACACAGGCTTTTTTGGCAAGGCAGTGAGAATACAGCAGCGTCTTCTGCAGCGGTTTCCAGATGATTTGAAGTTGAGAAACAAGATGGGTGTCACATTTCTTCTTATGAATCAGGGATCTGCTGCAAAGGAAATCTTTGAGGCAGTTTTGCAAAAGTGGCCTGATGACGGATTTGCTCAGGTTGGTAATATGTTATATTAGATAATCTGTATTACCCACATAAAATAAATGCCCATAAGGGTAACTTCTCATTGTTGGCTCTTTCATACAATATTACCACAGTTGTTCTACCTTACCTTTATTTGATCTTCCAGCTCCTCATAGAGATAATAATTTTCAAATGATTAGTAATGTGCATGGTAGGAGCTTCATTAGTGATACATTTTAAAAACAAAAATTCTGTTAGAGAAGAGGTAGGAAGTTCAAATACTGTAGTAAAATAATTCTTCTTTCTTTCAACAAACTGGCCGTATCCCATCGAGGCAAGGTGGCCCAAAAACAAAAAGAAAAGTTTCTCTTTTTCAATTCAGTAATTTATACAGGAGAAGGGGTTACTAGCCCCTTGCTCCTGGCATTTTAGTCGCCTCTTACAACACGCATGGCTTACGGAGGAAGAATTCTGTTCCACCTCCCCATGGAGATAAGAGGAAATAAACAAGAACAAGAACTAGAAAGAAAATAGAAGAAAACCCAGAGGGGTGTGTATATATATGCTTGTACATGTATGTGTACTGTGAGCTAAGTGTAAGTAGAAGTAGCAAGACATACCTGAAATCTTGCATGTTTATGAGATAGACAAGACACCAGCAATCCTACCATCATGTAAAACAATTACAGGCTTTCGTTTTACACTCACTTGGCAGGACGGTAGTACCTCCCTGGGCGGTTTCTGTTTACCAACCTACTACCTAGAGTAAAATAATTGTGATTAATTAAATGTATTAATTACGTATTTATACATGTTGAGAAAATACATGATATAAAATATGTAAGGATTTTTTTTTTTTTTTTTGAAGATATTTTAGCTTGTAACAGAGTAGTGTATGTAGCAGATTAATAGAATTGTTATATGTGAACATACTAATTAATATGCTTTAATGCAATGAAATTAATGTTGAAGAACTTCATAAGTATATACTATCACTGTTCAATGTTTTTTAGTTGTAATATTAAGGAGGTTTTGTGGGCAAGGGGCTTGGACTTCCAGCAAGCGTGCGTGAGCGTGTTAGATAGGAGTGAATGGAGACGAATGGTACTTGGGACCTGACGATCTGTTGGAGTGTGAGCAGGGTAATGTTTAGTGAAGGGATTCAGGGAAACCGGTTATTTTCATATAGTCGGACTTGAGTCCTGGAAATGGGAAGTACAATGCCTGCACTTTAAAGGAGGGGTTTGGGATATTGGCAGTTTGGAGGGATATGTTGTGTATCTTTATATGTGTATGCTTCTAGACTGTTGTATTCTGAGCACCTCTGCAAAAACAGTGATAATGTGCGAGTGTGGTGAAAGTGTTGAATGATGATGAAAGTATTTTCTTTTTGGGGATTTTCTTTCTTTTTTTTTGGGTCACCCTACCTCGGTGGGAGACGGCCGACTTGTTGAAAAAAAAAAAAAATTATGATGAATGGCTGGTAGGTTTTAATATGGTGAGACAGAATGGAAGGTGTCATAATTAGTCTATATAGCAGTAGATAATGCTCTTTCATCATTTAAATTGGTTAACCCTCTTAAACCCTTAAACTGTCCAAACGTAGATCTATGTTCGCTCACAAAGCGCTCTGAACATACATCTACTTTTTTTTACATTCTTTCTTATGGAGAAAATCAAGGTCGGAGCGCTACACGCGCAGACGCAGATGTACGTTTGGACAGTTAAAGGGTTAAAATGTATAATAGGGTAAGGGAGGTGTGTTAAATGTGGATGATGAGACTTTTTTTTCCATGATTTTAACAGTGGACTGCTCCATGGGGAAGTGGAGCAGAATTCTTCCTCCGTAAGCCACGTGTCGTAAGAGGCAACTAAAATGCCGGGAGCAAGGGGCTAGTAACCCCTTCTCCTGTTTAACCCTTTGACTGTTTCGGTCGTATATATACGTCTTAACGCACCACTGTTTCTGACGTATTTATACGCGTAAATTCTAGTGGCTTCAAATCAAGTGGGAGAAAGCTGGTAGGCCCACATGTGAGAGAATGGGTCTGTGTGGTCAGTGTGCACCACATAAAAAAAAATTCTGCAGCACACAGTGTGTAATGAGAAAAAAAATGAGTTTTTTTTTTGGGGGGGGATAAAAATGCCAACTTTGAGGTGTATTTTTGTATAGTATTTATCGTAGTATTCTCGTTTTCATGGTCTCAGGTGATAAACTGGGAAACATATTACAGAAATAGAGATGATTTTGATTACTTTCATGATGAAACCGACCTTGAAATGGAGCTCAAAGTAGTGGAAATGTTCGATTTTTACCAATGTTCAGGAGTAAGCAAATCACACCACATGTCCCATACACTTCAACTGGGGAGTCTAATATTCTTTCATTAGTGCACTGATATTATTTATACCATTTTTACAATAATGCAGTAGTCTGCATAACAGTAAATTTTGTATTTTTTTGTATGAATAAAAAATCAAAATAGAAAGCAATAGTAATATAAGAGAGGCCTAGAGACATGACTAATGAACAGAGGATATGTTATTTTAGTGCCAAGAATGTCTACATTGCTTATTCTGGACCCTATTTTGAAATTGGCATCTTTTTTAATTTGCATGAAATTGTTCAAATTGCAATTTCTGACCACTTCATTGGGTAGTTCAAATCGGTAAATGGGTGGTTTCTTGTACTCAACAGATAGAAAAATGGAGTTCTAAAGAAATAGCTATGACTTTGGTCAACTGGGACAACGGAATTGGCCAAAAACAAAGCTCAAAGTCGGCGAAATCGCTGATGCGTATATGTCGCTGAGACCGCTAACTTCACGGGAGCTTAATTCCGTGAGTTTTCGACCAAATTTCGTACTTTTGGTGTCATTACCACCGGGAAAAGATTCTCTATCATTTCATAAGAATTTTTTTTTTTTTTTTTTTTTTTTTCCCAAAAATTTATCGACATAGAATGACAGTTTCAGAAAGGAGCCAGCAACAGTCAAAGGGTTAAATTACTAACTTTAAACAGAGAAACTTTTGTTTTTATTTTTTGGTCACCTTGCCTAGGTGGGGTATAGCTGGTTTGTTGAAAAAAAAATATTATTATTATATTATTTTATCTTTACTTTTGTTTATATTTGTCTCAACTGTGAATGGAACATGTACAATGTGTTATTGTTTGTTTCTAAGTTTTGATAAATTTAAACCTGTAGAATAGATTTGTGTATGTTGTATGGTAGTAAATGATAAAATAAACTGGTATCTACATATATTTTATCCATTCATGACATGTATAACTTTTTCTTAATTTTTTGTTCGCAATCTCCAAAAACTTTTCAAATACAGCCTGCCCTCACTTAACGACGTACTGGTTTACCATCCACTTGGACTTACGACCAGCTCTCCAACCAGTATACAAATCTAAGTAACATATATTAGAGCTTATTTCCTCTATTCTTTTTATTACAGTATACAGTACACAACTGTATAAACATTTAAAAATTTGCTAAAAATGTTATAAATGTTGTAAAGGTGACATTAACCCTTAAGCTGTTGAAACGTAGATCTGCATTTGCACGCGTAGCGCTCTGACCTTGATTTTCTCCATAAGAAACAGTGTAAAAAAAAAAAACGTAGATCCACGTTCGGAGCTCTACGTGAGTAAACATAGATCTACGTTTGGACAGTCTAAGGGTTAAAAAAATATATAAAAATGGTTGACACAAACCCACTACTAGTATATTATGCTCTTTGCTTATGACCAATTCATTTACTGACCTACTCTTAGGAATAGAACCCCATCATTAAGCAAGGAGAGGCTGTATATTTGTTGAAAAAATCTGTGTATAAGTGAACCCACACAGTTCAAACCTGTTTTGTTCAAGGGTCAATTGTATGTACAACAAAATACAGTGGACCCTCAACCAGCGATTTTAATCCATTCCTGAGAGCTCATCGTTAGTCAAAATAATCGTTAGTCAAGTTAATTTTCCCATAAGAAATAATGGAAATCAAATTAATCCGTGCAAGACACCCAAAAGTATTGAAAAAAAAAAAATTTTTACCACATGAAATATTAATTTTAATACACACAAACTGAAGATTACATGCACAGTTACATGACACTTACCTTTATTGAAGATCTGGTGATGATTGATGGGATGGGAGGAGGGGAGAGCATTATCTTCTTACTGTTTAGAAGGGGAATCCCCTTCCATTAGCACTTGAGGCAGCAAGTCTTTTTCTGGGGTTACTTCCCTTCTTCTTTTAATGCCACTAGGACCAGCTTGAGAGTCACTGGACTTCTGTCGCACAACATATCTCTCTATAGATACCTGTACCTCTCGTTCCTTTATGACTTTCCTAAAGTGGTTCACAACATTGTCAGTGTACAGGTTGCCAACACGGCTTGCAGTAGCTGTGTCAGGGTGATTTTCATCAAAAAAGGTTTGCACTTCAAGCCACTTTGCACACATTTCCTTTATCTTAGAAGTAGGCAACTTCTTCAATTTCTCTCTCCCCTCCTCCGAAGCAGTTTCCTCAGGTCTGCCCTCTTGCTGTTCAAGATGATCTAGCAGCTCATCAGTGGTTAGTTCGTCATTGTCCTCCACCACCAACTCTTCCACATCCTCCCCACTAACCTCCAACCCCAAGGACTTCCCCAATGCCACAATGGATTCCTCAACTGGCATAGGATTCTCAGGGTTAGCCTCAAACCCTTCAAAATCCCTTTTGTCTACACATTCTGGCCACAGTTTTTTCCAAGCAGAGTTCAATGTCCTCTTAGTCACTTCCTCCCAAGCCTTACCTATAATGTTTACACAATTGAGGATGCTAAAATGATCTTTCCAAAACTCTCTTAGAGTCAGTTGAGTTTCTGAGGTCACTACAAAGCACCTTTCAAACATAGCTTTTGTGTACAGTTTCTTGAAGTTGGAAATAACCTGCTGGTCCATGGGCTGCAGGAGAGGAGTGGTATTAGGAGGCAAAAACTTCACCTTAATGAAGCTCATGTCCTTAGAAAGTCGCTCTACCACAT